GAAGGCAGACGCAGCAACCAGGCGTCACTGAGGCAGGATGGGGCTGGAGAGGGATGTGGCCAGGTCGTGCAGGGCCATGGGGAGAGTTCAGGGCTTTATCCTATGGGCAGTAGAAGGCCTTTGTGGGATTTTAAGCAGGGAATTAAAAAATAGGTTTTCTTTTTAAGGTCGTCCTGGCCGTTAGTGGGGAGAGTGGTTTGGAATGGGCTGAGGATGTGTGGTGGATCAGGAGCGTGTTGGTGGTGGCTGATGGCAGTAGAGTTGAGAGAGGAACGAGCAGATTCAGGAACGATTTAGGAAGTGGAATTGACGGCTTTGGGTGTCACTGGCCTGGGGAGGGGGCCTGTGAGAGATTAGAATCAGTCAAGGATAACCCTCAGGATGGGTTCAGCGGGTGAGGCCATCTGCTGGGACCATTCACTGCAGTAGGGAACCCTGGATCAAGATGAGTTTGATCATATGGGTTTGTGGTCGCAGGCTGGTTGGGGATCAGAGATGTCACATAAACACAGCTGGCTATCTGGGTCTGTTTGCAGAGGAGTGAGCTCGGGGCTGGCAGCAGCTGGTGGGTTGCTGGTACATGATGTGTGCAAACCCTAAGAGTGCATGGGATTGCCCTAGGGAGAGTGACGAGGGCCTGGGATAGAACCCAGAGGTACGGACACAGAGGACTGGGCCCTGTAAATAAAGGATGGTAATTTTAGCAGAGGGAAATAGTAGTGCTAGCCGCTGCTTGAGTTCCTAAGAGCAGGCCTGAAAGTCAAGGGCCTCTGGAGCACAGACATGGAGGTTGTCCTGGCAAAGACAGTATTTGGTGGAGCACAGACACGGAGGTCGTCCTGGCGAAGACAGTATTTGGTGGAGCATGGGGCAGCATGTGGATTAGAAAAGACTGAGGAATCCTTGAGTGAGACTGGAAAAAAAGAACCAGTGTAGACAGTCTTTTGTGCGGCTGTAGGAGACTGTGGTTGAGCGGGGGTGGCTGCTTGTTGTTTAGGTGGTGAAACGGGCTAGAAAATCCGGGGCAAAGTGCATCATGGGTTGTATGGGGTGCCCAGGGCGGGTGGGCGTGGGGTTTGGAGCACAAGTTTGGAATGAGTGAAGGATTTGCTCCTGCCATTGCTGTGGGATGGGCTTGGGAGGGGGCTGTGGATTTGAGGGTGGGCGTGCCCTGAGGAACATCCTGGCTGTAGCGTTCCATAGATGGCTTAGTCAGGCTTTAGCCAGGTCTGGATAGATCTGTGCTTTATCCGTCTCACCCCTCTGCTTCTCTTTGCTTTTAGGAGTGTGAAACGTAGTTTGGAAAGACGGGACAGTGCAGGGTGGTGAACGGAGCAGCTTATGTTCGGGGGTTACGGGACAAATGCCTGGGAAGGCTGCCCAGCAGCCGGGGGTGGAGGCAGCAAGGTCAGAGCAGGCGGTGGTGGAGCTGAGCGAGAAGACAAAGGATGGTCCTCACAAAGGGTGTAGCACGTTTAAGAGCCTGGAGACCAGCAAAGGGTGTGTATGTTCAGGAGAAGTACGGGCAGTAAATGAACGTAGGGAGTGAGTTCGTCAGGGCTTCGTCTGGGGGCAGGAGCCCTGGTGGTGCAGTTGGTGAAGAGCTCGGCTGCTAACCAGAAGGTCAGCACTTCGAATCCACTAGCTGCTCCTTGGAAACTCTATGGGGCAGTTCTACTCTATCCTATAGGGTTGCTATGAGTCAGAATCGACTTGGCAGCAAGGGGTTTGGTTGATTTTTTTTAGTCTGTTTGGGGGCCAGTGAATGTTCCAGGTTACACTGTTGACATTCGTGAGTGAGAGATCTGGAACTTCTGTGATTCTCCCAGATTCAGGAAGACTAAGTTTGCATGTCATTTTCCCCATTAAGTAGATGATGGGTGGAGAAGGTTGAAGTGGCAGAGATGAGGCTAGGCTGGTGTGTACGGTCTGTTCCGAGGCCAAGTGACTCATGCCTGCACAGCAGTCTCCGGATCATGAGATCAGCCGTCAGCCTGAGACCTAGTCAGCCCCTGTGGGTCAGTGGAGCTCTTGCCTGTCTTTCCTTGGGAGAGATCCCTGGGGATGGGCTGGGTGACTACGCCAGCTGCCTCTAACTGCCATGCTGCCTGTCTGCAGACCTCCTTCGGATGTTCTTCGATGCCCTGTATGACGAGGACGTGGTGAAAGAAGACGCCTTCTACAGCTGGGAGAGTAGCAAGGACCCCGCTGAACAGCAGGGCAAGGGTGTGGCCCTGAAATCTGTCACAGCCTTCTTCAAGTGGCTTCGTGAGGCTGAGGAGGAGTCCGACCACAACTGAGGGTGGGTGGGGCCGGGGACTTGGAGCCTCACGGACATGAGGATGGCTCAGCCAGCTGCCTGGACTGCAGGGGGGCGGCAGCAGCGGCCGGCGGCCTGGGCGCCTGTAGTGCGGTGTGTCTGAGCTAATAAAGTGGCTGAAGAGGCAGGCTGGCGTGGGGCTGCCTGGGGCCCCCCTCCAGGATGCTGCCAGGTGCCCCTCCCTTCCCCTTGGGGCACAGAGATATATTATATATAAAGTCTTGAAATTTGGTGTGTCTTGGGGGGGGCACCACTGCCTGCCCCTGGGGTCCTTTTTTATTTTCTGAAAATCACTCTTGGGACGGCCGTCCTCGCTGCTGGGGGCATATGCCCCAGCCCCCACACCACCCCTGCTGCTGCCTGGGCAGGGGTAAGGGGGGGGCACGGTGCCTGTAATTATTAAACATGAATTCAATTAAGCTCACTGCCTCTCTGCTTTATGGGCTGCTCCCTGTGAAGAAGCGTGTGGATAGGTGGGCAGCCTCCTTTCCAGAGCTGGCACTGTAGCACTTCCCTATGGCCTGGCACCCCTCCTGCCTCTTCCCCTGTCCACGACCTCGGGGGCTGGAGAGGGCTGGGCCCCCGAGGTGGGCAGGGGGTAAAGGGAGATAGGTAGCTGTGGGGTGGCTGATGGACGCGCCCACCGACCGGCGTAATGCCGACCTGTGTGAAAGCCTTGGGCGTCAGCCTGTCCTGGCTGGAGAAACCCTTTTACGGCTTCAGTTCTCGCCTGTAAAATGAGGTGCCTGGACACAGCGCGGTTTTCGACCCGCGTGTAGTGTGACTGGGCGGCGCAGGCCCGGAGTTTGCTCCTCCCGGGTCTTCAGGACTCGCTGCGGTCCTGGGAGGAGGAGCGCGCTGCTGCTCTCGGGCCCCAGGCCTCCCGTGCGTGGCCGTGACGTCGCCCCGCCCCGCCCCGCCCACCGGGCGGTGACGCCGCGGCCACGCCCTCGCGCTGACGTCACCGGCCCGTTTCCCTCTCCCGGCAGCGGCGGCGGACGCGCGGCTCCCACCCCTCCCCTCGCGGGCTCTCCTCTCCCCTCCCCTCCCCGGCGGCGGCCGCGGCCTGACCCTGTGCAAGGCGATGGCTCGCGCCACGAGCGCGGGCTAGCGGGCCTGGGGGTCCGGCCATGGGCTGCATCGGCTCGCGGAGCCCTGCGGGTCAGGGTAAGAGGCGGAGGCCGGCCACGGGTCGGGGAGCCGGGTTTCAGCCCTCGGTGCGCGGGCCGCGGGTGGGTGGGGGCTTGAGGAGGGGTCGGTGTCGGGGGTGGGGTGGGGGAGGAGCCTGCATCAGGGAGGCGGGCCTGGCAGGAGGAGGGAGCGGAGAGGGGACTAAGCCGGCTCCGGGTCGCTCCCTTGGCCTGCCCGCTGCTCGGCTTTGCAGAGCAATCTCGTCGCTTTCCGCCTGCATCCCCACCACTGAGGGTGGCAGGAGGTGCCCGGCCTCGGGAGGGACGAGTCAGCCTCCTGCCCTCACCCTCAGCCCAGGGCGACTGGCCTTGCACGCCCACACAACCTCCCTCGCCCGGTACTCCGCCCTCCCTGTCCTGGGAGTGGCCCTTTGCTGGGAGCCTGCCTCCCCTAGCAGTGTGTCCCTGTCCCTTAAGGAGGTGGTCAAACACTGGGCAGCACCCAACCACAGAGTTGTTGCCTAAAACTTACTCTCCCTTCCGGAGTCAGCTGGTTGGTGAAGGGGACTGGGGCCTCCTTTGGGGTACCTGTGAGCACCTGATTACCTCTCACTTCTCACAACTGTTTAATTTTCTTCCCCCACCCACCTACCCCTAACAAAAACAAATGGCCCAACCTCAGAGGGAGGCCACCCATCAGGGCTGCCTTCCACACCCACCTGCTGGCCCCTGCATGTGCCTTGGTTCCTGGGGGTGGTGTTGCACTCTGGGGCCTGGCCCTGGTCCTGTGCGTTTGAGGTCGGCCGGCTTCCTTTATTTCAGTGCCAGAGTTTCTCTGAGCCTAAGACCAGGCAGGGACTTGTGACATTGAGGGCTGGGTTTGGAATGGGTCCCAAGCCTTCAGAGTAGTTGGTCAGACACACAGCCCTTAGTGTGGTTGCTACTTGAGGTTCTCTGGAGCTGAGACTCTGGCTGGTATTTGTACTTCCCTTGGGTGTCTGTGAAGAATTGTGGGATTTGTAGTTCTAAAAGAACCTCACAGCTATTGAAGCTAGAAGCAGCAGACTGCTGATACCACTGGCCTGGCTAGGGCTCGGAGTCAGGAAGGCATCCCCTCCTGTAGTCAGGGAAGTTGGGCTGACCTCAGCACTGGCCTTGAGAGCCCTGATTAGGTACCAGCTGGGGGCCAGGGGTGGCCTGTAACCTCATGTCTTCCTTCTGGTTGGTAGTGTTTCTGGGGACCATCAGCTGGCTGAGGCTCAGGGACAGAGACGGCTGCTCCAGCTAAAGGTCAGTTGTGATGAACACTGCCCATTGGCACTGTCTAGGGGATGGGCCTCCGCTCCCCGAGCCCCAGAAAGCTTGGCTGGGCCGCTCGCACCCCCACCTCCTTGAAGCCACGAGGCAAGAATGTTCTCCTTATGTGACTAGGCACAAGTTCCAAGTGGGGAGGGGACTGGCTCAGCATCCGGAGCCAAAACAGGAATAGAACTGGGAGCTGAGCCTCGAGTGGTTCTGGGCTTTTGGTTCTCGGCATCAACACAGCCAGTATGCCTATGATTTCTGTGCTGGGCAAAATGTTTGTGTGGCAGCGTGAAGGGCCTGGAGGACGATGGACTTGTCAGACAAGTCGCAGAGGTGAGACTAGCCACAGGAGATGGGATCGGGAGGTGATGGGTGCTCAGGTGGCAAGAGGAAAATCACTCTGGCTTGGAGGTTGGGAACCAGGCGGATGCAGGGACAGGACCTGGGGCCAGAGAGGGCATCAGGGAAAGGCTGTAGAGGACCGAGGTGCAGATCAGGAAAAAACGGGTTTGTCATTAAAGAAGCTGCTGAGGCTGGCGAGAGGAAAGAACTGAGGCAGTGAGGAGAGAGGAAGCAGCAAGCTTGCTGAGGATCCAGAGTGTTGGCGGGGCCGGGGTTAGTGATGGTGGTGGAGGGATTCCTGGTGCTTTCCAACAGGAATGGGTAGGCTGGGAAACCGGGAGAAGGGTCAGAATTTATCAAAGTTTGGGTTTCTTTCTGGGGTTTAGATGGTAAAATATATCCAGAGGAGGAAGGTGGCCGGCGGGCTGCCACAGAATGGCCCTAGAGGCATATAGGGTCAGGGCTGTGGGATACGGGTCTTCAGAATTAAGGAAAGCACCAGGTAGGTCGCTGGTATTCTGGGAGGTGGGGGAAGGGTAAAGAGAAGTGGTAACGGCGACACTGGATGAAAATGGGGTCCTGGCAGAAGTGGGGGCCCGGCTGAACAGCCTTTCCCCCACCCCTCAGTAGCCTCGGACCCCGCGTGGGCTGTGGAGTGGATCGAACTTCCTCGGGGCCTCTCTCTAACCTCCTTGGGATCTGCTCGGACCCTCCGAGGCTGGAGCCGGTCCTCTCGCCCTTCCTCCGTGGACAGCCAGGACTTGCCAGAGGTGCTGGGCCCCTAGCGTTGTGGGGGGGCTGCATTCACATAAAGGGGATCTGTATCTCTGCATCCCCACCCCCGCCTCGCCAGCCTGCTCCTGGCTCCCTTTCCTGCGCGCGGAGGCGCTATCCGGCCGGCTGGGCCGCACGCCGCCCCCGCCGGGTCTGCTCCGCTCAGCGCCGTGCCAGCGGGCGGGCCAGCTCGCGCCTCCGGCGCTGACGTCAGCGCATCCCGGGCCGTATCCCGGGAGACCCTGTTGCATGGTGATGGGTTGCCAGGGAGACATACACCTTTTCGTCGGGCCTCGGCCGGCCGCAGCTGCGCAGAGCGCTGGGCACGGATGGCGGCGGCTAGGGGGAGTGAAGGGAGGGAGGGCCAGCGAGCCAGGAAACACCCAGCAAGGGCTCCTCCTCGCAGGCCTGGCCGGAAGCTGCCGGCGCCACCCTGGGGGCCCTGCCCATCAGGTACTGAAGGGGAGGGACTGGGCGGGCCTGAGGTCAAGGAGCAAGTGGAGGCCCGCTTGTGAGGGCTGGGAACGCGATCTGGGAGAGCTGGGCAGTGCGGGGAGGGGGCTGTGCCTCTGACTTCATTCATTCACTGAGAGAAACATTTGCGGGGGCTGGCCAAGGCGCTGAGCCAGGTGAATCAGACTAAGGCCCTGCTACCTGGAGTTCCCTCAGGAGAGATACACTGTGTGTGTGTGCGCGTCTGTGTGTCTGGGGGGCTGCAGACGGCGTAAAAGAGGAGGGGAGAAGACTGGGCTGAAGGCACTATTAGGAGGTGGCATTGAGTCAGGCCTTAGATGGTGGGGAGCATTTTGTGAGGCGAGGCTGGCATTCTTAGCCCAGGGGAAAGCTGGGTTCCTGTGCCCGGAGGAGGGCTGCCCCCTGTCAGAGAAGGTGGGACAAGTGGGGTTTATTGGGTCGAGGAGATCAGCACTGGATCAGTGCCAGGCTGGCCTGGAAGGAGGCAGAGGTCTCACAGTGGGGGCCTGCAGTACCTGGGTGTGAAGCTTGCACTTACGTCATTGGGAGGTGGGGGTACCCTGAAAGGATTTTAAATGAAGAGGTGCTGTGACTAGTTGCACCCCGGGAAAATTATTTGTTTACATTTATACTTTCCCTCATTCATTCAGCCTATGTTTTTGGGAAGGTTGCCCTGTACCAGGCACCGTGCTGGACACGGGTGCAGCAGTGACCAAGACAGATGGAGCTGAAAGACCTACAGATCAGTGAGGGAGACCGACGGAGAGAAGAACACGCACCAAATAGACTGTGAATGGGGCACATTGTTAGAGAATAGTGATTTGTTAGACATGACTGAGAGGATGGGTCACTGACAGTGGTTAGGAAGGCTCCTCAGGGGAGATAGTTCAGCTAAGACCTAAAGGACAAGAAGGGAGCCACCAGCCAGCCACGGGAAGAGAGAGACAGAGACTGTGTGGTGTGTGTGATGATACAAACATCACTGTAGGCTGAGAAGATAGCGTGAGATTGAGGAGGCTGGGGACCACTTGTGGTAATCTGGGCAGGAGGCATCGCGGGCTCTTGAGGAAGGGCACTGGCAGCAGGCGTGGGAAGAGCCAGGATAGTATCGGAGGCAGTTTGGAGGTGGGATCATTAGGTCTTATCAACAGATACGGGCAAGCAGAGCTTCGGCGGAATGATGGGAACGCCAGCCAGGGTGAAGGATGGTGGTGATGCAAAGTGAGGAAGTCAGGAAGTGGGGCCAGATGTGGGGAGAAGGTGCTGGGTTCGATTTTGGTCAGGCTGAGTTTGGGGCTTGGTGGGCCGTCTAGAAGCAGCCTGAATGTGGTTCTGAAGACTCAGAGGAGGAGGGGGCAAAGAGGAGAGGACCTTGGGGAAGTCCCTGATGCCGTACGCTCCCCCCTCCTCTTCTCGCCTCTTCTCACAGGGCTCACTCCATGCTCTCCGGCCTGCCTCCTTCCCTGGGAGGTGGGAAGGTAGAGGCTGAGCGGCAGCCCCGCTCCACAGGGCCTGCTGGAGTCTCCGTTGCTCCCTGGGAGGACGTAGTTGGCCGCTCCTAGCTTGTTACCCTCTTACATTTCCTGGCAGCCACGGGCCATGTATGCTGGCCTGGTATCCTTTGCCAGCTCCCGACCCCGTGGGTGGGGTGTGGGCATGTTGGGGGTCACTGCTGTCAGAGGGCACCGACCCTCTGGTGATTGTCACCCAAGGTGAATGTTGGAGACACAGTCGCGATGCTGCCCAAGTCCCGGAGAGCCCTAACCATCCAGGAGATCGCTGCGCTGGCCAGATCCTCCCTGCATGGTATGCCCCCTCCTGCGCCTCTGGCCACTGGGTCCTTTCCCCTCGCTTTTGCACGTGCCCTTCGGGACTGCACCCTATGACCTCTTGCTGGGCTCTCCCGTTTCCTCCCTTTCTCACATGGCTCTGGCCCAAAAGCCCACGTAGACCCGAGCCACCACCACCCCGCCATCTGCTTGCCCGGTGCTCCCTGGCCCATGGCCTTACCAGCCTTCTCCACTCTGCCCCTCCTCCAGGTATTTCCCAGGTGGTGAAGGACCACGTGACCAAGCCCACCGCCATGGCCCAGGGCCGAGTGGCTCACCTCATTGAGTGGAAAGGCTGGAGCAAGCCGAGCGACTCGCCTGCAGCCCTGGAATCAGCCTTTTCCTCCTATTCGGACCTCAGTGAGGGCGAGCAGGAGGCTCGATTTGCAGCAGGTGGGTGGCGGGACACGTTTGTCATCGGGGTGCTCCCTCTCGTCTCCTGGGGCCTGACGTGGGGGCTGGATCCTTCCACACCCTGGTCTCTTCCCTGTCCTGGCTCCAAGCTGAGCCCTAATCTCAGATCACCTCTGCTAAGGAATTTTGTGTCCTCCCCGCAGGAGTAGCTGAGCAGTTCGCCATTGCAGAAGCCAAGCTCCGGGCATGGTCTTCGGTGGATGGGGAGGACTCCACGGATGAATCCTATGATGAGGACTTTGCTGGGGGAACTGACGCAGGTGAGGGGCACCCCTTGCTTGTGCTGCCAGCTGGGGTGGAACTGCCTGGTGGGCCCCGTGATTCAGAGCTGTATCCACAATACCCTAAGCCTTTGGGAGGGGAGGGGAGAGGGATTAGGACAGGACGGCCATCCACACTCAAGGATGGGTAGTCAGGTGCTGAGCTTCTCTGCGGCTGTGTCTCTGCCTGTCCAGCAGACTGGCTGCCTGTGCAGAACAGAGGGGTCCCGGGGCTGTGGCCACAGGCAAACGGGAAAGCATGCTGGGCCTGGAAAGGCTCTGGCTTCAGCCCAGCATCCTTGCATTCCAGCCGAGACCTGCCTGGCGGCTTTCTCTGGGCCAGTGTAGGCCGAGGGGCCCCTGCGGGCTGTGCACAGCTGCACACCCCTCCTTTCATCATCCACTCCCAAGACTACGCAGCCCAGCCGACTCTCTGTAGCTTCTGGGCTCCAGCAGTCACTGGCCTTTGAAGATTGCCTCTACCCTCCCCCACCCCTCTAGCTAATTAACAAGCCCCCACGGTGGGCAGCACACTAGAGCAGATCAGAGGCCGCTGCTGGGGTTCCGGGGGTACTGATCTGGATGCCGAAGGCCGGGAGGGAGCCCTAAACCAGAGCGTTTTTGTTTGATTGAGTTCCAGGCCTGCTTCGACCCCCGGGATAACAATAATAACTAACGTTTATCTAGGGCCGCTGTGCAAGTTAGAAGGCCCCCCTGCCGTTTCTCTGGGCGGTGCCAGGGCTTGCTGCTTGGTGAGCAGGGTGTGGGGTGGGCTGGATTTCAGCCCTCACTCACGGCCTTGGACAGGCTCCCCTTGTGCAGCGCACAGCCTGCCCAGCCCTCCGTGCTGGCTCTGCATCTATTGCTCGTGCACTGTGTGCCACACTGTTCCCTCAGCCGCCTCGGAAGGTAGGCGCTGTTCGAACCCTCAGTTCACCCTTAAAGAAACGCAGGCACCGAGAGGTTACATGACTTGCCCGGGGTCACCACGCTCATGGTCCTCCGCCACCCCCAGTGTTATGAGGGAGGGCAGAAGGGGGCTGGGAGGGGGAGGAGGGATTGGGTATAGCTCATTGAAATGGGGCCAGCAGAGCCGTCTTTTCTCTCCCCACCAGATGTATCTGGGCAGCTGCCCCTGGGGCCCCACCTCCAGGACCTGTTCGGTGGCAGGCGCTTCTCCCGGCGCCAGGGCTCCGTGGAGCCTGAGAGCGACTACTCGCAGACCGTTTCCCCAGACACCCTGTGCTCTAGTCTGTGCAGCCTGGAGGATGGGCTGCTGGGCTCCCCGGCCCGGCTGGCCTCCCAGCTGCTGGGTGATGAGCTGCTGCTCCCTAAACTGCCCCCCAGCCGGGAAAGTGCCTTCCGCAGCCTGGGCCCATCGGAGGCCCAGGACTCACTCTACAACTCGCCCCTCATGGAGTCCTGCCTTTCCCCCGCCGAGGAGGGGCCAGCCCCTTGCCAGGACTGCCAGGCGCTCTGTCCACTGCCAGTGGGCAGCTGGGAACGGCAGCGGCCAGCCTCCGCTGTGGCCTCCTCTGGGGTGGTGTCCTTAGAAGAGGAGGGGGCAGGGCTGGAGGAACAGTGACCCACATCCTGCCCGGTGGTGGCACAGTCCCCTGGCTGCTGCCGGGGGCAGGGCCTTGGTGCCAAGTGTGGCTCCAGGCTCCCAGCCGAGCTCCGCAGCCTGGAGGGCTCCCGGCAGCACTAGCTCCTCTGTCGTGTGTTTTGCATGAAAGTGTTTGGAGAGGAGGCAGGGCCCGGGCTGGGGGCGCATGTCCTGGCCCCACTCCGGGGTTTGCCGGGGGTTGCCCGGGGCCCCGAGGCATGGCTACAGCTGTGGCCGGCAGTGATGTTCATGTTCTTCAATCAAAACAGCCACACACACGTTTCCTCCTTGGGTGATGTGAACCCTTAAGGGGATTGTCCTGACTGGGCTGCGGGGCCGGCTCTAGTGGGAGGGAGCCTGGCCTCCCCTCCGACCTCCCCACGCCTCTTTCTTCTCTGCTTCTCTCCCCACCTCCTCCCCGTGCAGTGCTTGATAGAATCAGCCCCACCCGGGGGGCTCTGGCTCCTTTGCCGGCCTGGAGCCCACCCATCAGCCCTCCCCCGGGGGCCCCTTGCCCAGCTGGCCTTGTGCTGTGCTTCGCCTCCCCACCGACTCTAAATCTTCTTCTTTTTCCTAAAGAAAGAGGGTTTTTGGTCTGTTCTTTCAGTTGGGTCTTCTCTGGGAGGTGTTGGAAGGTTAAAGCAAGCATCCTCCCCCCTTTTCCTGCCCCCCGCCCCATGGGGCCTGGGCCTTTTCCAGGCCTCCGTAGGCCTTGGGTAGGGGACGGAGGATGTGTGGGCTGCCCGTTCACCCAGAGCTCTCTTTGGGGTGGGATCAGAAGTCACGGCCCTGGTTGCTACGACACTGTGAATGTACCGGTCTTCCAGAGAGGGCCACTAGGGGGCCAGGGTGAGGCAGGATTGTGCCAACGAGTGACAACCCCGAGGAAGTGTCTCCTGGGGAGGGAAGAGGGTGGTGCCTTTCTTGGCTGACAGGAAGGCCAGAACTAGTGCTGGGGATCCTGTCCCAGCCAGGCCGTTCATGACCAAGCCTCCGGCAGATCCTCCGTTCCAAGGACACGAGGCTCTAGGTTTTCGTGGCCGTGGGTGGCTGCGGACTGAGGAGCCTTGCAGGCTGTGGCAGGTAAGAGGGCCCACGGGAAGAACAAGAGCCAACGGGCACAGACGGTCTATATATAAGTGGCTCATTAGGTGTTTATTTTGTTCTATTTAAGAATTTGTTTTATTAAATTAATATAAAAATCTTTATAAATCTCTATATACATCTGGTCATTGGAGGTTCCAGTATAAACCCATCTTAGTTCTACCCCTCTTGCCCTCAAAGGGGGAGCAGGGTCAAGGGGCCACCCCCCCACCCCCCCAGGGCAGTGCTGGTCTTCCTGCCCCTGGGACGTGCTGCAGGTGGGCGCTGGTTCCCGTTGCAGGTAGATGAACTGGGAGAGGATGGCACCCCCGGTCTGGAAGGGGCTGGGGCTCCAGCCTCCGCCTGCAGCTGCCGCCTGCTCTCCCAAGGCAGAGGGACTGTGAGAGCTGAAGGACCCCGGCCGCCCATCCTGGGTGCTACTGGCACTTGTCATCGCTGTCGGAAGGGCTGCCCTCCCGGGGGAGGCCTTGGCGGGAGCGGGGCCCCCAGAGTGCATGCACCTCGGTGGTCTCCGTGTCACTGCTGCTGGTGGCGCTGTCGCGGAAGCTGGCAAGGGGCGGCCGGACTTTGACGCCCTGTGCTGTGATAGAGCCCTCGATAGCCTTCCGGAGCTGGAGGGTGAGAGGGTCGAGTGTCAGGCGCCTCCCTGGCACTTCCCCCGGGTGAGCTGGACATAAGCCTCTGTGCCTTTTGGGAAGTGGAGGGGCTTTGGTGGCCGCTGTCACCTCACCTCCTTTAGCGTGACAATTCCGATGAGTCGGCCGATACTGGTGACGTACGCATGGTCCACTCCCAGCAGCGAGAAGATGGTGTGGGTCTGCGGGTGGGAGAAGACACACGAGGCTTAGTGCATGAGGGACGTCTCAGCTCCAGGCCTACGGCGGACGGGGAACGGAAGGGGTGCTGCAGGTGGAGGGGCAGGGGTGGGCCCACTGAGGGAAGATATTAATAATGGTACTGTGCCCAGGCCTCAGAAACGTGATAGTCAGAATTCTTATGTTGACGGGGAATGGGGCAGAGAAAGGAGCGGAATCCCATGCTGGAAAAGAGGACATAAGAGAGACCACCTGTTCAAATATGGCATCGAATGATAGGCCAGGCACGTGCTCAGTCTTTCTTACATCATCATTTAATTTCACTATTGTCCTGAGGAGAAGGCATTACACCCATTCTACAGAAGTGGAGCATGAGGCTCCGAGGTGTAGTGACTTCCTTGCTCCAGGTCACCACTGCGAAGTGGTTATGCAGGCCCAGGCTGCTTTCCATCACGCTATGGCCAGAGGGATGACGCACAGCCCAGTCCTGTGCAGGTGTCCCATCAGTCACGGATATACCCAGAGAGGGCGCTCGACACCCCCTTAGGGGCCCTGGGTCCCGTGCCTCTTGCCCCACCTTCTAGTGGCTGGCATGGAACGCTTTCCATTTGTCCTCATGAGCTGGCTGGCCAGTGTTGGCTGCAGCCCCCCAGTCCTTCCTGAAGCATTCTACAGCTCTCACACAATCCAAGCAGCCTCCCACGTCCCAGTCAACGCCCCGACCCACCCCCATGTTTTTCTTGCTTTGGGCCCCCCCACCAAGCTTTCAAATGTCATCACCTAGGGTTCAGAAATTGTCAGCCAGTAAAAGTACCCCCAGTGCTGTGAGTGGATTTTCTCAAACGAGCAGTTCCTGGAATTTTTGACCTATCATTTTTCTCTCGGTTCTGAGTTCACTTGTAAGTGTCTTGGCTTAATGGTTGAATCACAATGGGCTTCTAGAATATTGATCAACTCAGAACTCATTTTAATTGTTTAACACTTTTTAAAGCTTTTTAAATGTTTTTTCATACAGTTGCTAAATTTTAGCTTTAGGGAGGGATTTCCACAACTTTCCAACCTTTCCTCACTCAGGGCATGACTGTACTTATAATTAAAAGCGGCTAGAAGTTGAAACTGTTTTAGAACGAGCTCTTTTTCATTAACTTCGTGGTTAGCAAGTACCTCCTCATATCTGTGTTGAATCCTCCATGCTACCAGTTAGCTTAAGTCCATTGTCTGACTTCAGAGGGAAACATCTTTATTATAAGATTTACTAAGTTTTAATCCCTTAGCCCTGCCTTAGAGTCAAATAATCGCTCTCTTATCTTCTTCCAAGGATCCTATTAAATAGTTGCCCTGGATTTTTTTTTTTTCCTCCCACAATCCTAATCAGAATGAGTTATGGCCCTGGTGGCGCAGTAGTTAAGCACTCGGCTGCTAACCAAAAGGTCGGCAGTTTGAATCCCCCAGCCCCTCCATGGGAGAAAGACGTGGCAGTCTGCTTCCGTAAAGATTCACAGCCTTGGAAACCCTGTGGGCAGTTCTACTCTGCCCTATAGGGTCACTCTCAGTCAGAATCAACGGCAACGGGTTTGGTTTGTGCCTTTGAAGTTGGCCACCCATTTCTCCCCCGGCAGTCATCAAGTGTGACCCATCTAACTCCTGAGCATCCTGGCCATTCCTGCGACTCCCAGCCTCACCACCCCTCACCAGGACTGGGACCTGCACATCCTCAGGGTGCTCCTGCTTTCTGCCTCCCTTCCCTCCAGCTTGCCTCTGCCATCCTAGTGCTCCTTCTCAGATGTGCGCTAGAGCCCAGGCTCCCTAGAATGGCCCATGAGGCCGTTCCCCGTGACCCCAGCCCGTCTTTCCAGCCTCAGATTCCGCCAGGTACTCTGGCTTCCAGCCCCACATAATCACTCATTTCATTTCTGAAAACATCTCTTTCTTCCACATCTTCAGCCCTTTTCCTGTTGTACTGGCTTTTAAAGTCTCACCAATCCTGGAAGGAGCGCTGGTGGCATAATGGCTAAGCTTTCGGCTGCTAACCAGAAGGGCAGCAGTTCGAATCCAGCAGCCGCTCCTTGGAAACCCTACGGGGCAGTTCTACTCTGTCCTGTTGGATCACTATGAGTTGGAATGGACTCAACAGCAATGGGTTGGGGTTTTTTTTTGGTTAATCCTTCCAGCCCTCCATCCAAACAAACACAAAAAATCACCTCTCGGAAGCCTGTTTCAATCCTCCGCACTGGGAGTCACCCTATCCTGCAGGCTCCCTCGGTATTGTATGCTGGTCTCTGCCAGAGATTTGTATCACAATGGCGCATAATTACTGCTTGACAAGTCTGTCTTCCAGAGGGAACTAAACTCCCGGAGGGCAGGGGTAGTCTCTTATTTACATCCTCCATTGTCCATCGCTCAGTATAAGTAGTAGCAGCTATCCTTAACGTGAATACTACGCCTGGCACAGTGCTTCACGGGAATTAACTCCTTTAACCCTCAGAAATATCCATGACGTAGGTACTGTTATTATCCCCATTTTACAGATAAGGAAAGTGAGGCACAGAGCGGCTAAGGAACCTGCCAAGGTCACACAGTTAACTAACGTGGCAGAGCCAGGATTTGGTGGCACAGTGGTTAAAAGCCCGGCTGCTAACCAAAAGGTCAGCAGTTCAAATCCCCCAGCCACTCCTTGGAAACCCCATGGGGCAGTTCTACTCTGTCCTGTAGGGTCGCTATGAGTTGGAATCGACTCGAGGGCAATGGGTCAGCAATGGGTAGTCTGGCCCGAGTGCCAGTCTGGCCCCAACTCCTTCTCCATAGGTAGCCTCTGCATGAGTGGGGTGCTTCTTGGGGTACGGTGATCTCCAGTTGCACAGGTCCCTAGTCTCCAATGCACTGTCTCCTCTCTGAAGGTTTCCCTCGGAACTTAACTGGGCTACTACTCACTGATCCCTCAGGCCTGCGAGGACGTTCTGAATTCTGAGCGCTTCCGTTATCACTTCTAGTTCTTTGCATTCTTTGTTAGTCGGTTCCTCAAAGGCTTCTTCTCTTCCTCTGATTTTTACTCTTGTAACAAACACCTACTTTGTTCTTTTTGATTTTAATTTAATTAGACACCCGGGAGCCCATTGGTGGGCCCGCACTTCTCGGGCTTGGGAACAGTGGATTGACAGGGAAAGGGACACCGTGGCCTTTGGAAAGAAGCCTGATATCGGGGCCAGCGGCTCCGGGCTCTGGGCCTGACTGCTCTGTGGACTCGGGCCAGTCACCTCGCTGCACGCCTCAGTTTGTCCATGGTGAAGACCAGCTTGGAGTCTAGGCCCGGTTCTGCCACTTACTAGCTGTGTGACCTTGGGAACTTGCTTAGTCTCTCTGAATCTCCATTTCCTCAACTGTGAAAACTGCAATATCACAGTAACTTAAGAGTGTGGTCATGAGGGTCAAAGGAAACACGTGAAGAGGTTAGGGTGGTGCCTGGGACAGAGCAAGCACTCGGGTAATGCCAACACCGCTGACAGCTTTCTTCTTCCTCTTCCTGCTGATCATTGTGAAATGTTGAAGGATTAGGATCACTGTGGAAAGCTTTAGAGGCCTCAGGAAGAAGGCTTTAAATAAAAAGCCGAACAGATTATTCTCAGGCCTATCTCCTTTTTTTGGCAACGTCACCGTGGTTCACCCACTCACTTGGATCTGAGGTCTTTACGCAAAGGCTTGTAAGTTTATTACCTTTTGATTTTTTGTTTCTCTTTTGTCCTGTCTTCGGGACTCGGCCCCTGCTTGGCTGGGCTATGCTGGCTCATAGGCAGAGCGGGGGGGGTCTCTGCCACTCTGGCAGAAGCTAGAAGCCCGAGCTGTAGGCCGTCCCCCTCACCCCGTGCCTTGGAAGCTCGCACATTAAATCTGTCAAAAATTTACCTAAAAGCCCTCTCGGCTGTTGCTGATCCCAGGAGGTCTCCCAGCAGCCTGCTGGACGTGCCTGTACTCCCTCCCTCACGGGGAAGCCTGAAGGTGCCCTGGCATGCCACCCCCACCTCCTCAGGTGCCTCGGAAGCAGCCTGTCCTCCACAAAGCGCTCCTCCTTCCTTTGGAATCGGCCTTACACACCGCCAATCTGTCTATACTCAATTTCTCTCCACTTTCCTGCAGCTGCTAACCAAAAGCTCGGCAGTTCAAATCCACCGGCCACTCCTTGGAAACCCTATGGGGCAGTTCTGCTGTGTCCTGTAGGGTCGCTGTGAGTCAGAATCGACTCAACGGCAACGGGTTTCTGCGGCCTCTTCTTGAATGGCTGTTTCACCATTTTGCAGAGCTATCTTCCCTTCCTCCGTCCCTACCAGTTCCCCGTCCGCCCACATTAAATCAGACTTTCTGGGGTCTGACATCCCGAGCCCCCACTGGGCGTTTCTCATCTCTGTTTATCTCTTCTCTGCAGTGTCCTCACCCCTACTTGGGAGCTGGTTAGCTTGTTTATTAGTTTTTCTTCTCCCTCGTTTTGTTTCAGCGTGGGTGTATCAGCCTTGTCGGACTCTGGCGGCCTCCTGCCCAGCTCTGACCGTGCCTGGCCTCCTGGCTTCCACCCAGTTCAAGCCCTGTCTTTGTTGCTGCTTTGGCCTGGAGTTCCCCCGGGTCAGGGCTGAGCAGAGGAAAACTGAGGCCCGGCCCCACTGGGGAGCAGGAAGAGGTGAGGGGGCCCAGGCTCCCCGTCCCCCATCGTCACTGCTAGTCTTGAAGCAATATGGCTGAAAAACATCTCAGCCCTGAGCCTGCTCTCTGCACCTCTTTCCTTCCCCACTGGCCTGAGTCCAGACTTGTGTGGGGGACCTAGATCCCCACCCTGTCCTCCCGAGAGGCCACTGGCCCTACCTTGTGCAAGGAGGTCCGCTCTACCAGCTGGAAGGGGGCGGGGTCAATCTTGCAGTCACTGAAGTTGACTGGCTCATCCAGTTGCTGCTCCTCCCATTCCAGAATCTGCAGGCGAGAGACCAGGAGGGTCAGGGGGTGGCGCCAATAGCTGCTTTCACCTCCCTGAGAACTGGCCTGTCCGTTTTCCTCCCCACTGGTCCCTCCCACGGGGGACAGCAGCCAAGATGCTGGCTGAGCACACCCAGGAAGAAGCAGGGTCCAGAGTCCAGCCACACATTACCTCCTGAGGGCTCATCTCGCCTTCCAGGTCCGAGTCGCTCTAAGAGAGAAGGAGGGAGGTTGGCAGATAGGGGCTGGGGGCGGTAGGTGTCTCCCCCCGCTCTGGGAGTGGGCTTTACCCAGCCTAGACCCTGGCCCTCCCTGCCTAGTGCTCCTGGGATGAGGGAAGACAGCGACGGCTTACCGCCAGGGAGATGCGGACCCGCTTCAGCTTGCGCTTGTCACATGCTTCCGACTTCTCCAGCTTTGTCAGAGCCAAACCAGAGAGAAGAGGAGTTTATGTTACAGGGAGGAGGGAAGGGAGGTGGTGGAGCCCAGGAGGAAGGTACACTGCAGGGCCAGAGCTGATAGCTAGGAGTGCAGAAGGGCAGGAAGAATGGGGGCAGGCACCACAGTTAAGAGAGGCAGGGTCAGACAGGGAGCCGGGCAGGAAGAACACCAGGAGGACAGGTCGCCGCTCACCTCTGAAGCCCCCTCGGGAGGCGGGCTGCCACAGAAGAGGCTCCTGAGGGCAATGCCTGTTGTCTCCCTGCTCCCTGTGGGCCAAATACAAGGTCCCCGGGGCAATGCCATCTTTTGGGAGGGCCAGGAGGGGCAAGGAAGGGAAGGGGAGGGGTGTCCCATCTCAATCCGCCCATCCAGGCAGCCTCTTCCAGCTGCAATGTGCACCAGCAAATGGGCTGGGCAGGGACTTTAATGGAGCTCTGTGGCCCGGCTGAGGATCTATTAGAGGACGGAGGGGAGATGCCAGTGGGAGACGGCTCACCTGTGGGACTCTCCCCTAGGTTCATGGTATTGCTGGACCCCCTCTTCAGAGCGGGCTTTAGGGGCTTGTGACTCTCCCCCCGGGCTGCAGAGAAGCCTGGGTCCTCTGCGTTCACCTGTGTGGGCAGAAAGGGGCTGGTAAGGCTGTGGCCCCAGGTCCCCCTCTATGCCGCCCTCCAGATCGTCTACATAGTGATGTTCAGGAAGTACTGGGGAGCTTTTCCCCTCACCTGGAAGCAGACGGAAGTCTCGGGGCTGGGAGGACTCTCCTGATCAGCAGGCGGAGAGGTCTGAGCGGCTCGACGGGCCTGCATGTACTGCTGCCGGCGGGCCGGGCTCAGCTGGGCAACCAGCAACGCCACCACCTGTGAGCGCTCGATGGAGCCCAGCAGAATCATGGACTCTAGACAGAGCAGATGGGAGGACTCAGGAGCTGTGGGTGAGGCCCTCCCGCCCTCCTCGGCCTTTTCTTGCACCCAGAGTGGGGCCTTGGACACATGGCAATGTGGCTCATCCCCTTTGGAACCAGGAATACTGGTCCTGAGCTCCTGTCCCTCCCCTGTCCCCAAGCATTGAGCCCTGGGAGATGCCCTAGTGCCTGGGCCCCTCCTGGCCTCACCAGCAGACTCCACTAGGGCCAGCATGCGGCCCTTGGTCCTGTGCAGGGCCGACCGCAGGTCCCGGAAGGTGCAGTTGAGGGCCACGTGGGGGACGTCCCGCACCATGATGTCCTCCACTCGTACCCGGTACTGCCTGGGGGCAGAGGGGGGCACTTGGTTTGAGGTTGGCATGGGGAGGGTAGCCCAGCGCACCCCTCTCCCAGGACAAGGAAGGGCCCAGGGTCCTTGGGATGGGGGCCAAGGAGCACTTCCCGACCTTGTTCCCAGTCTGGAGGGCCAGCCATAGCTCCTCAGCTACACCAGGAGGAGCCGGGTGGCTGTTCACCAGGCTTCACTGGCTCAGGGCCTTGGTGGCAGTGGGCGCGAGGGGGTGAGCACCCAGGGCGTCTTCCCTTGCCCCTCCCCCCCTCCCCTCCCCGCCAGGCCTCCATACTGGTGGCGGCCCCAGCCCAGCTCTGGCAGATAGGGCAGCTTCTTGATGCGGATGATACTGTCATAGAGTGAGGGCTGCAGGCTCTGGGCGACGGCGTTGGCCAGGATGACAGCGATCATGACGGGCAGGATGTGGGCGATTTGGCCTGTGAGCTCGAACACGATCACCGCCGTGGACACTGTGTGTGTCACTGCTCCCGCCAGCGCGGCCGCACCTGGGGACAGCTCCCATCAGTCTCCTAGGGTGCCCAGGCCCCAGATGGCCCTCTCCACCCAGGGGCACGTCCTGTGGGAGGCCCCGCAGGGCTACCCAGTCCAGGCCTGGGGATTGGGCCTCTGCATCGGAGGGAAGGCCAGCGTCGGCCAGCAGGGGGCACCAGAGCCTCTGACCCTGCGGCTGGGCAAGGGGGTCCTCCCACCCAGATCTGGACCTGGGCGCTCACCAACCACTGCATAGCCCCCGGGCACAATCCGGAAGGTGCTGCTGTCTGTGTGGATCCCATCTGGGAACCAGGCGGCCATGCTTTCACCCACCAGACGCCCAAATGCTGCTCCTTCAGGGAGGGGGGTGGGAAGAGAACCAGGTAGTGGAGGGGGAGGGTGGGGCACTAGGAAGAGAGAGGGTCAGAGGGTGGGGGGGGCCAGTGGGTCATTCAGTGCAGGGGACAGCCTGTGGGGTGGGGGTAGGGGCTGGGGCTGGACCAAAACCCGCACCAGAAGCAGACAGGGAGTGGCCAGGGGCGAGGAGGGCGCAAGCTGGGAGAACAGGTGGTTGAGCTCACCAATGACAAAGACAGGCATGAAGGCCCCACAGGGCACTGGGATGGTGGTGGCCAGAGCTGACATCCAGAACTGCAGGCAGGAAGTCGTCAAACAGGCAGCCACCAGCTCCACCCCAGAGGAACCCACCATGCTTATCAGTCAGGCACAAACTTCCCAGCAATCCATTATCACCCAGAGGTGGTGAAGGGGAAGGGAAGGGGAGGAGAAGGGGAAGGGGAGGGAAGGGGAGGAGAAGGGAAGGAAAGGGAAGGAAAGGGAAGGGGGAAGGAAAGGGAAAGGGAAAGAGAAGGGAAGGGGAAGGGAAGGGGGAAGGGAGAGGAAGAGGAGGAGAAGGGGAAGGGAGGGGAAAGGGAAGGGAGGAGAAGGGAGGGGAAGGGGAAACAGGAAGGGGAAGGGGAAGGGGAGAAGAGGCGGAAGGGAAGGAAAAAGGAAGGGGGGAAGGGGAAAGAGAAGG